ACGTGTGCGATTTTATGACCCCACTTCTGGAAAGGAGAGAATCTTTCTCTTTCCACTTTTCAAAATTATCGTTCGGACGTGTTTCAGCAGCTCTACTCCTGCAGAGGAGATTCGACCATCCCAACTCAACGCGAGGTTGATTTGAACTCGACCATCTTTACCCGTTCTTATCCTTACTTACCCTTATCTTTTGAACCAAAAAAGGAAAACGGACACTCAAGACATTAACTTTGTTTTAATACAGTCAACATAAACGAAATAACGTAGCAGAAACAAGTTTTTTGCTATTCATCTTCTACCTTCTTTGTTTCTATATTGAACAGGCTCCTTCACCCAACGTATATACACAAACTCTGCAAACCTTGTTAACTTGTACAGACGTTTCCTTATGTAGAAACTTTCGGCATTTATTTACCGAGGAACCAGAATTACTGTTGTTTGAAATTGGTAACATCCTCCTCTTAAAACAATTTTTCAGGAAAGTAGGTTTCACAAGTCTACTAACTTTTAGTGCTTATTCCAATATTGATGGAGGTTCCCTTCCTAACCTTTTGTTTTAAGTTGTGCGGAACGTTAACATCTTGATTATGCCATTATATTCTTTTCGAGTTAAATGCGATATTAATTTTAGTTGCTTCTGCTGATGAAAGTCCTCTAGTGGTGTGGTTTCTATTCTTTCGTAAAGTTATTTGTTTGTGATTCTGTAGCGCCAGTCGACGATGTTCGAAGAAGAATGGTACTCACTAAAAACCAAAGGCCATAAAGTAATCCCTCGCTATATCGCGATTCACTTTTCGTTGTCTCTGCATCGCGCATTTTTAAGAATATTCAATGTAAATCAATAGTCTTCTCAGATGATTTCGTACATGCCACACTATTGGTCGATAGCGAAGACACGACCAATGAGAGAGTGTTGTTCAGTATCCTAGGCGCTGATTGGCTTAGTGACCGTAGCCTCTGTTGCCAGCATCCTAGATTTCGTCATTCCACGCTGCTCAGTTATTTCAAGCCCAACGATGTCGCCCAAACGTTCTGTACATTCTAAGCCTTCTGGCAGCGAATGCAAGCGCCAGAGGTTGATGCTTACTATAACGGAGAAGGAAAGGAAAAAATGTTGGCCGCCATTATTGCATCAACGAATCCAGCGTTCGCTATATTAAGAAAGATTTAAAAATGTTTAAGTGTAGAAATGGTTTATAAGAGTGTTTAAGAGTGCACAAAAGGTTTATAAAAGTGGGTTGGGGCCTTATAAAAGCTTTAATATATAAACTATTTAAAAAAATATACATTTTAGCGAATCCTGTTTCTGCTTTGCGAATTTTGATCTATCGCGGGAGGTTCTGGAACGTAAGACACGCGATAGTTAACCTAGCAATGGATTCGATATAGTCTTTCCATTTCATGGCGGCCAAGAATATTTACGCGAAAAGTCGCAACGAGTCTCTTCTGGAAGTTAGCATCATCCATGCTGACAATTTAGTTTTGGAGGCGTTAAAATAACAAAATCTGCTTTGCCCAGTCCAATAGTGGCTGCAGGGTAAACCAAAAGTCTTTTTAGAATGAAGATATATATATATATATATATATATATATATATATATATATATATATATATATATATATATGTATATATGTGTGTGTGTGAAAAGTGTATATAAATATAAATAAATATATATATGTATAATTATTTATATATTATATACGCTGTACTTTTTTAGAAAGCGCTCAATATCAGTGATAGGGCTAACAGACAAACTCTGACGTTCGCTAAAGCGTGAAACCCAGGGTCACAGACTCACATCTATCCAACCAAATATATATATATATATATATATATATGAAGAAATATAGTTTTAAGGTGTGCTATATTTATGGGATGAAGTGCCCAATATCAGAAATAGAGCGTATGTAAATATAAATATAAAAGTGAACGCTGAAGTCAACACTCGGAGGCTGTTTCCTGGTGGACGCAATCGTCAGCATGAAACAGCCTGTTGCCCCCGAGTGCTGAATTCTATGTTCACTTATATATATATATATATATATATGAATTTTACTTAAAATCCCATAGGTGATAATTTTCATTTCATGAACGCTATAAAAAATAACTTTCAATCTTTCAGACCTGCAAACCAAATATAAGCTAAAAAAAAAAACAAACAAAAAAACAAAAAAACTCCAGGTTAAAGAATTTCGTCACCAAGTCAGAAAGAGAGAAATCTAAATGTATGAATTGAACATAGGAGTAAGGAAGAATTCTAAAAGAAAATGGAAACAAAAAGTTACTGTTCAAATTTCTATGACCTGTAATGAAAAAAGAGGGCTTGGAAAATTTGGCACTCACAGGATACACTGAAGGCAGACAGGAGACAGCGAATAACCTACCTACCAAGCATGTGTAAATGGATGGTAGAAGAGAGAAAGGGAGGGATGCTGAAAACTACAAAGGATAGGACGATCATTCACGTCCTGAATGGACACGAATAGAAAATAAAGGATATGTCTCGCCTGGCAGTGGGCTCCACTAGAAAGCGTATTAGTGGTCTGTAGGAAGAGCTTGCTAATGATTGCTAGCCACCCAAATACTTATTTCTAAAGAATAAGTATGACAAAAGGTTAAAAATTGTAGAGCCCAACATAACTAGAATCTACAGTAGAGATATGGTCTGCTGGGAGAAGCACTGACACACAAGAAACCACCCAACAAGAAATATCATAAAAAATTAAACAGAGAGAGAGAGATAGAGAAAGAGAGAAAGAGAGAGAGAGGTCAAAGGAATCAACACTGCATGGAGGCTGTCAGTTTTACACCCCGAATTGGTCTGAACATTACGTCGAGTGTGAAACTGACAGTTAATATGCAGTGTTCATACCTATGACCATGCTGTCTATATCTCCAAACGCTCTGTCTCCGATACGGAATATTCTTCTCTAATAAATATATTGATTGATTTGTTTCTTACGGATTATCAACCCTTTGCAGGTTATTTAAAGCCAGAAAATAAGATACACATAGATATGATTAAAGGAGATGTTGATAAAGATTTGAAACAGAAAGGCGGATAGACATGTGGAAATTGAGATAGAAAGATAAGAATAACCCAAGTCGATAGATAGATATGAAGATTTCATTGATTGATTGATTCGTTTTCTACGGTTTATCAACCCTTTGCAGGTTATTTAAAGCCAGAAAATAGGAGACAAGTAGATATGATTAAAGGAGACGGTTGATAAAGATTTGAAACAGAAAGGCGGATAGACATGTGGAAATTGAGATAGAAAGATAAGAATAACCCAAGTCGATAGATAGATATGAAGATTTCATTGATTGATTGATTCATTTTCTACGGCTTATCAACCCTTTGCTGGTTATTTAAAGCCAGAAAATAGGAGACAAGTAGATATGATTAAAGGAGACGTTGATAAAGATTTGAAACAGAAAGTCGGATAGACATTTGGAAATTGAGATAGAAAGATAAGAATAACCCAAGTCGATAGATAGATATGAAGATTTCATTGATTGATTTGTTTTCTACGGATTATCAATCTTTGCAGGTTATTTAAAGCCAGAAAATATTTTTAGATTTTAATAATTTCTCTTTTTTTAGATACTAATGATTTAGTTAGACAAATTTTAACTAATTAACCCATAGCTGGAGGGGAGAAGGTATTTGCACGTAAGTGAAGATAGCGAACCCAACTGGAATTGTAATTTGGCTTTGATAATTACAGCAAATTTTAACGTTTTTTATATTTTGCGTTTTTTATTTCGTTGAAATGTTGGATCACAACCTTTTTGAGTGCTTCATATTGAATAGTGTCTTTTGAATTCGGTGAAATTTCAAACGTTAATGGCCTCAGCGTGATAATTGCCAATCCCTTAGTCAAAGCACATGATAAAAATGTTTGTTTTTTCTTTCCGGTTCTCCCCGCCACCCCCACCAAAAAAAGGGACGGTCTCTCACTCCGGTCAGATGACGCGTCTTATACGGAGTTGGGAGGTACGTAACTGAAAAAAAAAACAAAAAACACAAAAAACTGTCTATATCTCTGAGATGAGGTATTACGATTGCTTGCATTATTTACATTGTTCGAACTGTTATACTCATCTTCATTGCTATATTCACAACGTTTCGGCCATTGTACGCTCCAGCCTTCTTCAGGTGATTCGAATTCTGAGATGAGGTATTATGATTACCTGCATTATTTACATTGTTTGCACTGTTATCCTCATCTTCATTGCCATACTCGCAATGTTTTGGCCGTTGAACGCTCCGGCCTTCTTCAGAAGATTGGATCTCTGATATGAGGTATTATGATTACTTGCATTATTTACATTGTTCTGACTGTTATCCTCATCTTCATTGTAATATTCACAACGTTTCGGCTGTTGTACGCTCCGGCCTTCTTCAGGTGATTCAATCTCTGAGATGAGGTATTATGATTACTTGCATTATTTACATTGTTCGGACAGTTATCCTCATCTTCATTGCCATACTCACAGAGACATTTGACCCAGTAGATAAAGACGTTAATAAGAATAGAACTTCCGGGATAAACTTGAACTCCAATAACAACATCTATTTATGGCATGCGTATAAAATATGCAAAAGAAATTCTTATATTACTGTATAAACAACTTGTAGTTTTAAATCTTATTCACTTAAAATATTTTAAAATCAAATTAACTTAATTTTTTTAATATGATAAAAAATATTTTAAAATCATATTCCCTTGAAAATATTTTTAAATATGCCAAAAAATATATATTTTTTTAATTTATAAAATATTTTTTGTTTAAAGAAAGCTGAAATATAAATACTCTACAAACAAATGGACGAACCAGCAAAGCGGAATCTCTTTGCGACTGTCTGAGGAAATTTAGTGAGGGATAATAAAAGAGAGGGTGGAGAGAGGGAATTCCCCAAAGTTATGACGTAATCCGGGGGGTGGGGATTCACCGAAATGCTTCTACCTCACCCGCGTGCCAGTTTAGACGTATGTCCATAAATACGAATGCGCGAAACGAATTCAACAGACGAATCGCAGAAGAGAGAAGAGAGACAGAAGACACAGAGACGCGATGGAAGAGAGTTCGTTCCAGCCACCGGTCGCGTGACACCCCACGTGATTATCTGCCGACGAAAAGAACTTTTTACTTCAGTCATATGCCAAACTTTACCAACAACAGCAAACCCTATTTTGCTTGGTCAACAATAATATCCCTTCCGATTTAGTCGTGGGTTGAGCTGATAATTACATGCAAACTCTGATAAGCCAATTATTGTATGGAGAACTGATATAAAAAAAAATATTTCCTATTGTTCAATTTATGCGAGTGTTATTTTTTTTTTTCGTTGTACGTCATCGCCCTGCTTAGGCCAGCCCAACATGAAGATATCTGCGACGATTCGATCTTGGCCTCCTTTTGATCAAACTTAAATCAAAACGTGGGATAAGATTAGCTCTGGATTGATGCGGCCACTTCAGCAACTAGCCGCAGTTTTGGAAGTATTGGACGACCCGGGAGTGTGTTGTATGATTAAATTTCCAAAGAAAGTTTATTCCCTAGTTTCTTTAAATGTATACCCTGTCCAGCTATGGATTAAATATTAGGACTTATATTTGGAAAATTCATTGTTATATCCAAAACGATGCAATAATCACACTTTCAAAATATTTCAACCCACAAAGGGTTAAGAAACCGTAAAAATCAACTAACCAATCAATCCTTCCATCTAATGACCTTTGAATTTATTTCCTTGCGTCTTAGTTGCTTTATTGCCTTGTTTGTCGTTAAATGTTTAAAAGATATGACGGGGGTTGAATCTGACTGAACATATCTAAAGCAGTCAGACCTAAACATGCTTAATTTTTAAATAATACATCACTATGCTTACGGTAATATAGCGCTCAAACAACAGTTCCCGTACGAATACATAAGTTAAGCAACGCCGAGCCTGGTTAGTCACTAGATAATAGACTGCTTGAGAATACCGGGTGCTGTAAGTTTTGATGTGCAGGAAGTGAAATGGACCTATTGACATGAAATTGTTAATCGGAGTGCAGACTTCCTTTTTCAGTTGGGTTGATTATCTATACTACGCGTCCTTTGGGAAGGCATGAAACAACCTCTTTGGGTTAATTAATAAGATTTCTATCAGTAAAGCATTATTATCTCCAAAACAATTCTTACAATCTAAAAATATTTTCTGGCTTTAAATAACCTGCAAAGGGTTGATAAACCGTAGAAAACGAATGAATCAATCAATAAATCAATGGATTTTTCTTGATCAATTCACTCCAGGTGACAACGCAAGTAAAAAGCAATGGATTACTGGGAGTAAAAGAGAATGGAAACACTTTGGAGAGAACCGGAGACATAATCCTAAACAGGAAAAATCTCTCGACAAAGAGTTCCCAAAGAGTATAAAAGTTTTCTCACTGTAGATATTTTCTTTATCTCATATATTCATGTGATCTTTTCTCTTTCTTTCTTTCTTTCTTTCTTTCTTTCTTTCTTTCTTTTAATCCCTTCATATATTCATGTGATCTTTTCTCTTTCTTTCTTTCTTTCTTTCTTTCTTTCTTTCTTTCTTTCTTTCTTTCCTTCTTTCTTTCTTTCTTTTAATCCATTCATATATTCATGTGATCTTTTCTCTTTCTTTCTTTCTTTCTTTCTTTTAATCCCTTCATATATTCATGTGATCTTTTCTCTTTCTTTCTTTCTTTCTTTCTTTCTTTCTTTCTTTCTTTCTTTCTTTCTTTCTTTCTTTTTGATCCCTTCATATATTCATGTGATCTTTTCTCTTTTTTCTTTCTTTCTTTCTTTCTTTCTTTCTTTCTTTCTTTCTTTCTTTCTTTCTTTTAATCCCTTCATATATTCATGTGATCTTTTCTCTTTCTTTCTTTCTTTCTTTTAATCCCTTCATATATTCATGTGATCTTTTCTCTTTCTTTCTTTCTTTCTTTCTTTCTTTCTTTCTTTCTTTCTTTTGATCCCTTCATATATTCATGTGATCTTTTCTCTTTCTTTCTTTCTTTCTTTCTTTCTTTCTTTCTTTCTTTCTTTCTTTCTTTTAATCCCTTCATATATTCATGTGATCTTTTCTCTTTCTTTCTTTCTTTCTTTCTTTCTTTCTTTATTTCTTTCTTTCTTTCTTTTAATCCCTTCATATATTCATGTGATCTTTTCTCTTTCTTTCTTTCTTTCTTTCTTTCTTTTAATCCCTTCATATATTCATATGATTTTTCTCTTTCTTTCTTTCTTTCTTTCTTTCTTTCTTTTGATCCCTTCATATATTCATGTGATCTTTTCTCTTTCTTTCTTTCTTTCTTTCTTTCTTTCTCTTTCTTTCTTTCTTTCTTTCTTTTGATCCCTTCATATATTCATGTGATCTTTTCTCTTTCTTTCTTTCTTTCTTTCTTTCTTTCTTTTTTTTCTTTCTTTCTTTCTTTTGATCCCTTCATATATTCATGTGATCTTTTCTCTTTCTTTCTTTCTTTCTTTCTTTCTTTTGATCGCTTCATATATTCATGTGATCTTTTCTCTTTCTTTTTTTCTTTCTTTCTTTCTTTCTTTCTTGTTGGTGTTTTTAGTCGCATTTTTTGTTTATGTCTTTCTTTCTGTTTCTCTGTCTATTTTTCCTTTCTTTTATTTTTAAATCTCTGCCATATGCTCGACGGTTGTGAAATCACAGCCCCCGGTCATTGGCACCGTCTACATAAATCCTGCTTGATATACAGATCAAATACACAAAAGCACTTTTAATAGAGAAAAGTTACCCTTCCCACACTTAGTCATGAAATAAAAATGAAAAACACTTGTTTATCGGCAGGTAGTTGGCGTCAAATATGAAAACTGACCGATGTCCGGTTTGTCTTCTGATAATAGTCTTAAAACCTGGAGAGTTTAAAAGCTTTTACTTGTTATTTTTCCTGTTTCAGTGCTTTTAGGATTTTCTGTTATTGGGGGCGTTATTATAAAATTCCACTTTAATTTTGTCAACTTTGTAGCTGTACATCCCCTCAAGAATGCTCACCACCACCCCCGAGTAAAAAAAAGAAGAAGAAAAATATATTTACACATGTTTGTATGTGTAGAATAGGCTTCACGAAAAATATCAAAGAATCGATTTTTTAAAATTCTGGTTGACTTAAAATTGCGTTCTCTTTGCGATAATACCCTTGAGATACACATGTTCACCCACTCATAGGTTGGGGCAGCCATTAGTCACCACTGTTGATATCGTATAACCTTTCTTAACAATTCTAAACTTGGTATCTATGCTAATGACACAACCATTTACTCCTGTCCCGGTGGGGGGTGTAGTGGTCAGCAAACAATTACGACTGAGTAGTGAGTTCGATCCTAACTGGGTGCCCCATAATTTCCGCCCTGTTTCACATCTAAGCTACACTTAGAAATTCACTACTGCTGTCCTGGTGGTATGTCTGATTAGTTCGATAAGTTCATATTGTCAGCTGATCTTAAATAAATGGACCTACAATCTGTTGTTAACTGGGGCAAGGATTAGCATGTTTACTTTAACGACTGCAAAACAAAACTTCCCTCTTAATCCTGTGAGAGAACGCTTTTGCCTCCCATAACCAATGGCTGATGCTAACTTTTAGGAGAGTGACTTGTTGCGCCTTCTCAGGCTAATCTTCCCGGCTGACAAGCGGAATTGTAATCAAACACTGAAAACACGTCCTGGGTATGACGATAAACTGCATCCGCGTCCATGGGTATGACGGTAAACTGCATCCGCGTCCTGGGTACGGTGATAAACTACATCCACATACTGGGCATGGCGATAAACTACGTCCAACAGAAAGGCCGTTTTTGAAAAAAATACGGTTGTTGGCTATACGTTTTTGGGAAAATAGTATAATCAACTATACGTTTTTAAAGGAATAATGTTGCCAGCAATGCGTTTTTGAAAAACGATATTACCAGCTATACGTTTTTTTTTTTTGAAAAATAATGTTACCAGCTATGCGTTTTTGGAAAAATAATATTACCAGCTATACATTTTTGAAAAATATTATTGTTAGCTATACGTTTAAAAAAAGAAAAAATATTACCAGCTATACGTTTTTTAACAAAACCTTATTCAATAGAATTGTAACTGGGGTCAAAACACTGTGAAAGTGTAAAAATGGGTTTTAATACTAGAAATTCTTTGGAAAAAAAATTATTATCAATAATACATATTTGAAAACCAAATGTTGCCAACAATGCGTTTTTGAAAGGAAAAGCGGAAACAAACCTTATAAAACACAAAATAATCCAATGAACCAAACAAGCAAACAATGATCACAAATACACATAAGATACTTCAATGGAACTGTAGAGGAATAAATAAATAATTATTACCAGAAATAAATTTTTGAAGGAAAAGATATTACCAGCAATACATTCTTGAAAAGATATGCCAGATATACGTTTTTTGAAAATACGATAACCAGCTTGTTGTGAATATGGATTATCTCCCCCTTGATAATCCAACTATAAAAGTTATACATTTCCGCTTGTCGGGTAGACTAGTAGTAGTATTCTTAATTGAATAAACGATTACGAGACAGAATCTCTTGTCCTGTTTTCATTACACAGCTATATATTTCTGAGGAAAGATATTGACAGAAATGGATTTCTAACAAAACAAAAATATTATCGGAAAAAAAATGTCGTCGGCATTAAATGACCCATTAAGGTTGATATGCCGTAAAACAAAACAAAACAAACACTAAAAACAGAAATTATTTAAAGCTTAACCCAATAATTCCGCCTTGTGCCAGCTTGTTTTCACCGAATGCTTGTTGCATTTTTATCTGAACATATCTGTGTACTCGTTCTAAATACCTCGTAAATTTCCTGTTTCAGAACATAACATAATCTTTATTAATTCTTATTTTTAGTTCTTGCCAATGGGATAAAAATCTAACCAATGTTAAGTTTAGCTGCTACAAATTGTAAAAATTCATTGCCTATTTTAGAGATTTTATTTTTAGAATTTCATAGCCTGAAGTTAGGGGTGCGTATTATATACGAATAATTACAGTAGTCATTAAATTATTTGATTGTATTGATACACGTTTCACACAATTTTTAACTGCAATAATCAGCCAAGCGCCATACGTAATACACGTTTAGGCAATCATGTCTATTTTTTCGAATCATGACTGATTATGCAAAATAATTTCCTGCAGTAGGATGCCGTTTCCATCTGCTGTAGATTGGTCGCCAACGAAGGCTATAGGACCTAGTTTGTTTTGCTAGTCAGCCCATAGCTTGGGCGATTATATCTTTTTTCGACTCATTATTGACTAGGAAGAATAATTTCCTGCAGTAGGATTCCGTTTCAATCTGCGGTAGACTGTTTGTCAACCAAGGCTATAGGACGTAGTTTGTTCTGTGGAGTGGGAAGATAAGATGGAATCATACTTTTCCCAGTTTTATTTTTTATTAATCGAGTTCATCCCAAGCATGACAGAAAAGCCACTAAGACATAAGGGGTTACTGGGTGTGGAAGAGTTAAGTACAACAATTGCAAGGGAGCAAGAACATTAGAAGAGTAATCAGGAGGATGGTAGATAGAGATTGACATTGCATTTAGATTCTTGCAGATTAAAGCGGACTGGAAAATATGGAGCTAGAAGGGAGTTCCACAAGCGATAAAAGAAACTGCTAACATAGAATTTTCGGTTATATCTCGCCAGCTCAACTGTAAATTACTGAGACCTCGTCACTAGTCTAGTACTGCACTTTAATTCAAAGATTTTTTTAGCACCAAGCGAAGAGCATGAGAATACAAAATGTGGCACATGGCCACAAAAAGTGAGTGGGGAAAAAAGGGCGGTCTTCTTTTGTTTTAATGTTAAACTTAGCTATCCATAAACACTGACCCAAACATAAAACAATATTCCTTACACCAAAACAATGTATTCCTACTAACCTTTCTTATTACATTCACCATAATACCTCATTGTCTCTATGAAAATTCTAACTAGTCCCCGTATGTACAATTCGTTTTCGGGGGAGAATAAAAACAACACATTTAAGAAATTTAACCCCAATGATTATTTACAGAAATGCATAAAACTTTTTACAAGAAACTAAACGAAATAGTATTAGTAATGACCCCACCCCACAATCTTAGTGAAGATCGATTTTTATTTCTGCTATGTACAGAAAATGTGGCACAAGGCCACAATGGGGAATGGGGGAAAAGGACGGTCTTTTTCTGTTTTAACTTTAAACTTAGCTAGACACAAACATTGAACCAAACATACAGCAATGTCCCTTACACCAAAACAACACATTCTTACTTACATTTCTCATCCACCATAATACCTCATTTTCTCTATGAAAGTACTTAGTCCCCATATGCACAATTCATTGTCGGCAGGGAGGGCGGGTTTAAAATAATCAACAGATTTTTAAAAAATCTAGCCTCAATGATTATTTACAGAAATGCACAAAACTCTTTACAAAAAAATAAACGAAATAGTATTAACCCCCCCCACACACACACACACACACAATCTTAGTGAAGAGCTCATCCGAATAATTATCATGAAAGTATTTATAGAAAATGCAAAGGGAGGCTACCTTACTGTCTTGGGAATGCGACTGAAGCCGAGATGCCAGAATGAGTCAATAATTTTGTTGATTCTTCTTTGGATTTTATCAAGGAGATCTAGATGAGTAGAAAGCGCACCTGACCATATATTGTAGAAATATTCTAAGCATGTATGAATGGTAAACTTAGAGATTTGAAATATAGACTCTGGGGAGAAAAAATGTCCAGCATGACACAGTGAACAAACCTTGTGACTAAATGAATGTAATAAACCCGACTGGAGATTGAACTCGTTATCCTTTACATCACAGCGCACATCATTAGATTATGATTACTTT